AAACTAAATAAACTAATAATATTTGGTTTCGTTTTCTTCTGAAGTGACAAAAAAAGTTGGTTGCCGCACTTAACTGAAATTAAAAACACATACGTATCTTTCAAACTGATAATACACTATTTTAATATGCAGTCCATTTTAAATAACTGCCAGTGCCAGATATTGAAATTTTTAGTTTTTATTGAAAGAGGTACAACATTACTTACTCACAGGACAATTACTGGACTTTTTAAAGGTAAAATAAGCCAAAAATAYCAGGTGAARATTTTGTGCCTTTTTGACCCTTTRCTGTWAAATGGTTAAATCAGTCCACTGAGTGACCTGCTGTGTCACACATTTGGTATGGTAGTAGYTGAGACTGATCCCTAACACCTGTTCTGAGAGTTAACAGATCGCATTAGCCCTTTGGTTTAAATATTAGCATTAACTAGTTGGAGTGAGTCTGTTTTCAAAATATGAATATGTGCATGTTTACTTTTTATTGCTTGCTTTTGTTTACTGAATAAATTAAAGTAGATAACAGAGAATAAACAGTAGCATGTTCCGTTAGCACCGTGAAACGTCATGGTTGGCCATCTTCTTTCACCCCGAGAAGCTGTTTATAAACACGAGCATGTCTGAAACACCCAGAAGGAAGAGTTTCTTTGGTTTTCTTCAGTAAAAACACGTCGGGCCGCTGCAGCATGGATGAAAACCATTTGAAAGTGCTGGTGAAGCTGACCCAGGACGGACGGCTGGACTGTTTGCAGGCTCAGATCAGGTCCAGATTTAGTTCGGAGGCTCAGGCTGTCAGCAGCAAACACTTCGGGCGGTCCGGGGACACGCTGCTGCACTACGCGGCCAGACACGGACACTTGGACGTCGTGGAGTACCTGGTGGAGCAGCTGGGCGCGGATGTGGAAGTGTGTAATAATGATTACAAAAGGCCACTGCACGAAGCTGCGTCCATGGGTCACAAGGACTGTGTCAGCTATCTGCTCCGGAAAGGAGCGGCGGTGGACAGCCTGAAGAAGGCAGACTGGTGAGGACAGTCACAAACTATTTTAAAAATGTCAAACAACATAATGACCGCCGTAATACTTGGTCCAAGACCACACAGCCGTGAGGTGGTCTTCACACCCTTCGATAGCTCAGTTGGTAGAGCGGAGGACTGTAGAGGCTGAAAGCTGAAATCCTTAGGTCGCTGGTTCGAATCCGGCTCGAAGGAGTTGTATTTTTTTCCTCCTTTAAACACAAAAATTAGTTGAAAAACATTTTATTATCTTTTTTTCAACTATTTGGGATGTATACATATTGTATTACTAAAGAGATWATTCAATATTAAATAATGCATTCCGTTCCAGTCCATCCCTCCACCTTCAATTGTAGATTAGGCCACYAGGTGGTGCTCTGCTTCAGCCTTGTCCACGCAGCTCCAGTCACAAAGCAAGATGGAGGCCAATTTCTTCAGGGTGTATTGGCTTTTTAAAAAGTCAAACATCCATCCATCCATCCATCCATCCATCCTTTCTTTCTTTCTTTCTTTCTTTCTTTCTTTCTTTCTTTCTTTCTTTCTTTCTT